GTGGCGGAATCTGACACCGAGCCAGGGGGAGAGGAAATGAGGTGACTGTAAGCATGATCAAAAAGGAATGTCTTTAGTTGGGAATTGAAAGTGGGGAGGGAGGGGGCAAAGTGGAGGGGTTGAGGGAGAGAGTTTCAGAGTTTTGGGGCGTAGTGGCTGAAGGCACGGCCATTGATAGTGAATTGGAGGGGACGCGGAATAATCAGGAAGCCGGAGCCAGCCTAGCAGTGGCAATGGGTGGTGGAATGGGGAGTAAGCAAATCAGATAGGTAGGGAGGTGCAAGGGCATGACGGAAATTTGAAATCTTGAAATCGATCCGGTAATTGAGAGCCTGTGGAGTTGACAAGAACTGATTGTTCTGGTAGAGTTTTGAATTAGTTGAATTTTGAGGGAGGAGGGCATTGGAATAGTTCAGTCCAGAAGTGACAAACGCATGGACAAGGGTCTCGGCACTTTGGTTGTGAGCTACAGATGGAGGCGGCCAATGTGATAAAAGTGGTCCTGGTCAGGGAATGGATGTGTGGTAGAAAGGAAAGCTGGGGATTAAACATGACGCCTATGTTGCGCATGGGTTCAATTAGTCTGAGGGAGAGCTCAGGGAGGTTAAGGAGTTCAGACCGAAGGAGAGAAGATATTGATGGGAGTATGGCTTCCGTCTTACTGACATTCAGCTGCAGGAATTTTTCGCTCATCCAGGCCTGACAGGACAATAGCGGACTGGGAAGAGGAGAAGTAGAATTGGGTGCTATCCACATAAATGTGGAAATTGACCCCATATCTACGGATGACGTCACCAAGAGGGAACAAGTAAAGGAAAAGAAGGGGGCCAAGGATGGAGGCTTGCACAGGTGACCGGGCAGGGCCAGTAGGAGAAACTTTTTGCCAAGATACATTGTTGGCGGGTTGTTATGTAGAACTCAAATCATGCGAGTGCGGTCCCACTAAGGTGGATGAGGGAGTAGAGGCAGTGGAGGAGGTTGGCATGATCGACAAGTGTCGAACACGGCGGAGAGGTCCAGAAGAACGAGGAGACAGAGGGAGCACTAGTCACAGAGATATAATTTATTACTTTGACGAGCATTGTCTCTGTGCTGTGGGCTGGGAGGACATGGTCTGGAGGGGATCAAGTAGAGAATGGAGGGAGAGGTGTGTGCGAAGTTGATTGGCAACGACGCATTCCAAAACTTTGGCCAGGAAGGGCAGGTTTGAGATTGGTCTAAAGTTTGTGAGGTTGGAGGGGTCAAGGGTAGGTTTTTAAGAAGAGGACTGATGACAGGGGTGTGGGACAGAGCCTGAGGAGCGGAACTGGCTGATTGTGTCAGCCAGCAGTGGGCTGAGGAGGGGGAGCTGAGTGACTAGAAGCTGGGTGGGGAGGGGGTCGAGGTAGAAGGTGGTGAGCTTCACATGGGTGATAGTGGAGGAAAGGAAGGAGGGAGAGATGGGGGCAAAGGAGCATAGGATGGGGGCGGTGGTAGGAGGAGTGTGTACTGAAGATGGCATGGGGGAGCAGGAGGAGGCAGACAGACGGATGTTATCTATGTTACAGAAAGTCCAGGATCTCTTTGCACTTGACATCTGAAGTGAGGATCAGTGGTGCTTGAGAAGGGGTGTGGAGGAGGTGATGTGTACTGAAGAACAGGATTTTGGGGTTATTTTTCGTGGAGGTTTTTCGTAAAACCTGTTAGTTTTAGCTTGAGAGAGTGAGCAGTAGTATGTATGAAAATGCTCAAGCTACAGTTGGCAGTTAACTGTGAGGCTGGTTTTGTACCATCTGTGCTCGAGCAACCAGGTTTTGGATTTGAGGGAGTGAGGGTGACTGTTGTACCAGGGGATCAGGTAGCTTGGTGATGGACCTGGTTTTCAGTGGGTCACGGGAATTGAAATTTCAGGAGAGGTAATCGTTTAGCAACTTCTGGATCACTGCGGATGGAAGACCAGATTGAGAGAAGGGCTGAGGATAAGCGAGAGGTTGTGAGGGAATCGGGGGAAGCTTTTTCCATGAGTGGAAAAAATGGTGGAGGGCTTGGAGGAGTGGAGGTTTATAGGAGGGGAGAGGGAGATAAGGAAGTGATCTGAGATGGCTTTGTCTGTGATGAACAGATCAGTGATGTCTAGGCCATGGGTCGAGGGGGTGGCCACAGTTGTGGGTCGGGGAGTTTAAGTGGAGGGTGAGATTCAGTGTATAGAGGGGGGCAGTGAAGTCAGAGGAGATGGGACAAGGGGAGTTTAGGTGAAATTAAAATCACCCATTATACTCAAGTGTCCTGTGCAGAGCCAAATGAATGAGATGTCAGGGATGAAGGAACCAGGTGGCTTGGGAGGACAATAAATGAGGAGGATTTTGAAGGACAGAAGGGATGGTACAGGGTTAAGTCTGCATAAGAGGGGAAGGAGCTGGAGGAATAGTGGGAAGAGCGAGGGAAGTTTGTGAGATGAGAACCACCCCACCACCGGGTTGGTTTGGGCATGGGGAGAAAGGTCAAGCGGTGGGGGGCGGGGGAGGCTTCGATCGGGGGACAGGGTCACCAGGGGACAGCTAGGTTTCAGCAAGCCCAAACAATTTCATCCTTGTTCAATACCCACACAATCCCGTGGATGTCAATGGAAAGTCATCAGAAATGTGGATCCTGGCTATTCCCAAACAAGCCTATCTGGTAAAGGAATACAGAATGGTGCCAAATTCCACCACTCCCAGGATTAAACCCAGCAGAGATCAGCAAACTGAACACAAACTGGGGACCCAAATAAGTGTTTGTATAAATGATCTGCGATGCTACCCTGCTTGAGGAGAGCTATATAAATGCAAGTTGTTGTTGTTACAAAATAAGTTCAAAAGACCATAAACCCTTCAAAAAAAAGGCAATTTTAAACGCTTGTCAAGTGCTTGTCAAAGTCACAAACAACACCCTCTCTATCTGTGAGGAGAGCTCCCTCTGCCTCCTCGTCCTCCTGGATCTCTCTGCCGCATTCAACACTTGCATGGTTCGAGTCCTACTTAACCAACCACCTCCATTTCATCCCAGCAAATGGTTTCTCCTCCCACCCCTACCCAATCACCTGCGGATACCTCAGGGCTCCATCGTTGGCCCTCTTCTTTTTCCTTATCTATATGCCCAAAGATTTTCAGAAGGTGACTAAATGGCTTATTGACCGCTTAAAAGACCTAGGATACACTTTTCATTTAAATCTCTCGATAGATCACAAAGATCTTCATCCACAGCATTTAGCACGAGGCAAGGTTAAAATGCCATTCTTCAACAATCATACACAGGGGGCAAGTGTCATTAACACCTGTTTAGGCGGCACTTCACTCACTGAGGGACTGAAGCTGAATTGGTCAGGAAGCAAGTTTCTTCTAAATATATACAAAAAAATTTGCAATATTTATCAGAGGCTAGAAAAATCCCTTCGGAAATATTGCCTCAGATGTCTCGCAGGAAAGATAGAAGGACCACTGACATGCAAAATGCTCATTTTCCTTCTTTCTTTCTCCATGGAATTCTAATCTGAAACCTCTCCTTCTCACCCTCCTCCCTCCCCACTTTCAAAGTTTGCTTTATGTCTGTTCTTTTCAAAGACTGCGAATTTTGGTCACGTTTCTTACTTTCACCGTTCCCCTCGACCCCATCCACCCTCAACTCAGAATCAATGAAGCAGTTTGAGAAATTCTCCAGTTGCAAAAGTCACTGCAGTAATATTATAAATGTAAAAATCGTTGCTTCTGTAGTAGGGAATGTGTGGGGAGAGGGGCAGAGAGGGAGGAAGAGAACCATAAACAATGACAGCACATCACAAGTCTATTCAACCCGTCGCTGCTGTGCTTTGCTGTGGGGGGCAAGGGAGTGAGATGGAAATATCTTTGGGAACAAAAAGAAAGCTGCTGGCAAAAACCTATGAGTTTGCAAAACGTGTTAATATTAGGGCTGTTGTAATACTTTCTCACTGACGCAGAAACTGCGATGGCAGGATTTCCAGCACGTACACACCAACCACTCTTCCCGTCTTGCGTAGTATCTTCCTTCAACGACAGACAGACAGAGAGACAAACAGAGACAGACAGACAAACAGAGAGACAGATAGACAGAGACAAACAGAGAGAGACAGACAGACAGAGAGAGACAAACAGAGAGAGACAGACAGAGAGAGACAGACAGACAAACAGAGAGAGACAAACAGAGAGAGACAGACAGACAAACAGAGAGAGACAGACAAACAGAGACAAACAGAGAGAGATAGACAGAGAGACAAACAGAGAGAGACAGACAGACAGAGAGGGACACACACAGACAGAGACTGACTGACAGAGAAAGAGACTGACAGAGAGACACAAAGACAGACTGACAGAGAGACGCATACACAGAAAACGACAACACACAACAGTTTTACAAGCCAATATATAAAAAAATCTTATTTGAGGAGTGGAGTAGGGGAGAGGAGGAGTAAGGGAAGAATTAAAAATAATAATTAAAAAACTGTCAACTAAAATGTTTTCCCCTTCTCTCTGTCTCTCAGCAAACAGCAGTGACAGCAGTCAGGACCGAGTTAGTTGCCATCGCATCCGAGTGATTTAGATGCAAAAACTTTCGTTTTCCCATCGCTGCCCTCTTTATTAATATACACTCTGTGGAATAAGTATAATTCGCGTTCTCTCGAATGGTATTCCAGTAGCTGTCAGTGTAATTGGGTCAAGGTCAGGTGAGGGGAAGCGAAGAAACGCGACTGTAAAACGCTCCGCAATGCGGAGATATGAGCAAATGCAGTAAGTCAGACACTTCCTTCCTTTCGGGAATGGAGAGAACGACAAAGAGATAAGTTTTTATCATTCATTCTGTTAAAACAAACTGCATTGGGTGTTCTTAAGAAAAAAATTGGTCTATATTTTGTTATAAAATGCTATTTTGTTATGAAATGCTATTTTGTTATAAAATGCTATTTTGTTATAAAACGTATGCACAAAACTACAGGAACCCCCACCAGCAGCGCTATAGCCTCCGCTTACCCTGAGCATCCCCTCCGCTGGTCAGGACGCCGATGGCTTTACCGGCCCCGTTCAGGTTTTCGAACAATTTCCTTGGAGAGTGTTGAGCCATAGTGTGAGGGCTGTTCGTGTGGGGAGTTTTTTTCTCTGAAATGAAAGTGTAAATGACGGTGGCGCTGATGCGGCGGCGGCTGTCGTGCCCTCTCGGTGTCTTCCTCTCGCGCTTTTGAACGCTGCAGCTCCGCGCAGCTCAACCCAACGTGACTGAAGACGGCCCCGCGCTGCCCGCCCCCTCCATTGTCACGTCACTCACCGGCCGACTGACAGCCGCACCAGGCAATGGCGGTCCCACCGCCTCACTGAATCCAACCAATCAGGAGGCGGGGAGTGGAGGGGGCGGGACAAACTTACGTTTGGTTGCGACGGCGGCTGTCGCCTTTGATCCTCTTCAGATGCTGCGGCATTAAGGAGCGGAGAGGTGGGCGATGCGGTCGGATTGGGCGGCTTCACGCCCAATTGGGCGTTTTTTGTCGTACTGCAATAATAATCCTTGCATTTGTTATAGCGCCTTATCACGTCTTTGAGAAGTCTCAAAAGCCTTCACAGAATTTACTGTAAAGTGAATATATTTGAATATATGACTGTATGTTTTGATGGCAGAACACGGCAGCCATAGCACATAGCAGTGTCCCACAAACAGTTGTGGATTGAGTGACGAATTTTTTTAAGCATTATTACCCCCAGAAAAGTGACCAATTGACTAACAACTGGGTTCCTACTTACTGCTCGATAAACAGAGGCGTATGAAGCAAGCAAACTTGCCCAACATTTCGCCCTGTCAGGAATCGAACCCAGGTCTCTTGCTTGCGTGTGCTCTAACCACTGAGCAACAGGACTCCCACAGCATAGCCCACATACAATACTGTATGTGAAAAACGGTGCCAATTTTTATATTTTTAATTTAAAATTGCACAAACTGCAAAATGTTTTTTTTCTCCCTTTTATGAAAGAAAAAGTTTCAAACGGCACTCTTGCTAACCCATAGGAGGCAAGGTTTAAACTTTGGGGCCTGTATTTGGGCTACAAACAAATTTTAATTTCTGGCAACTTTGCAGGCAAGAGGTGAGGCTTTTGCAAGGAACGAGGAAGGTACAGGTCAACAACTTATCTTCTGCTCAAACAATGTCTTTTTTAATGCAATTTTCGAGGCAAATGCAGAACATTGCTAAAACTTTGCTGCTAGTGGCCTCCAGTGTACTGCAAGCTCTGCAAGCTTTTTATTTATTTGGATCAATCAGGAGCAACACATGTCACACTGGGGGACAAGCTGCAGCACTTTTTGCTGTGGAAGTCTCTCTGTCCACCTGCTTCAAACAAATAAAACGTATAAAAATGAAGAATGCTGCACAAGCCCCAAGTGCATACTATGTTTAAACAAGCAGCAGACAACAGCTTTGTGTGTTATAATTGGTTAAGTGCTTGAGTTTTAATACCTGAGGTTTGGGGGTCCATTTATGTCTCTCTGACAAGATCTGCAGTTAAATTGCTGATTTTAGATTGCAGGGATACTTGGGCACTGTACATGGAGTCCTTTGCATATTGGTTAGAGCACTCGCCTCGCACATGAGAGGACCCAGGTTCAATTCCCCAATAGAGCGAGGCCTTACGCAAGTTTCCTTATTCCACATGCCTCTGTTTACCGAGCAGTAAGTAAGAACCTTGTTGTCTGTCAATTGGTGCATTGCTTTCAGGGGGTAATAATCCCCTCTCCCCTCAAAATAATAATAATTTGGTCACTCAATCCACGACTGTTTATGGGACACTGCACAATTGACTGCCGTGTTTTGCCCACACAATACATAGTCAATTCACTTCACAGAAAAAANTGTAAAGATTATTATTATGAGAAAGTTAATCAAATGTACAATCTGTAATTAGTTGCAGAATAAGAATACATCATGAAAAGAAGACTCCAGGGAGACCTTATTGAAATATCCAAAGTTGTAAAAAACAATGCCAATAATGTGTTTGCATGCTCAGATATCTAGAAAAAGGGTACACACACTCAAGGTCAGAAAAGAAAACGTGAACAGATACTTCAGATGTCATTATTTTACACAGAGAGTGCTGAATATGTAGAATAGATTATCCGGTAATTACCAAATTGTGGTACCAGATTGTGTCAGAAAATTCAAGTGAATTAGATAGATATTGAGGGTTATGAAAGATAAAATAGTGTGTTTTTTTTGTTCCCCTTATGAGACTCGTCAAAGACATTCTTCTTTTGCTTCTGTACATTCCTATGTCCCTCCAAGGACAACACAATAGAGGGGCACACAGGAGATTTACGAACATGATAGTAAGGATGAATAGCTTGGCCTACGAGCAGAGACTGGAGGTTCCACAAACAGCTATGAGGTAAATGATCAATTTATCTGGAAAAGCATTGACTAGGACACCAAAATAAACTTACTTCTCTTTTCAAATAATGTTATGGAATCTTTAATATTAACCTGAACAAGCAGGTGTGACCTCCATCTTAATATCTTATCTGAAATATCTTTGATAATAATTCCCCAGTACTGCATCATCCAGTCTATGAGCTTGATTCCTGACATAGGGGTTGAACCTGCAATCTCCTAACTCAGGAAGCAAGAGTGCTATCATCTGAGCCAAGCTAAGAAAAATAGTATGAAAAAATAGCACTAATTCACCTACAAAATACACCATCACTACACTATAATATATTTTGTAAGATGCTTTGAGATGTCCTCCTGGTATTAAAGGCAATGATTATTAATTATGTTAATTTAAATGCGTCAGGAGTAACACGATCTGATTCAATTGCAATTTAAAGTTGGAGCGATGGTTTATTACTGCATAAGCAAAATGTTTTAAGATATAGTATATCTCCCCTAACAATTGTCTACATTTTTCTTTTTGGTTCATTAAGTACTAGTTAAATGCCACAGTGTTCGAAAATGAGGAGTTGTCTTTTTTTTACATGCACATTTCAAATTACCCATGACTGCAAAACATTGACAACTGGCAATTGCATGTTCAAAAGAACAGCACTGAATATATTCCCATGCATTGTTTAGATAGGTTAGCTCAGAATTGCTAGTCTCCAGAAACCAACCTCCAAAGGAGATTTTTATACCATACTTCAAGGTCCATCTCAAGACTATCCTCTTTGATCACCTTTTCGTCATTGGTCTGTGTACTATTTTTCTTACTCAGGATGGCTCATACTCTTGCCTCCTGGGTTAGCAATCTCCCCACCCGCCTTGGTCTCCACACCCAGTTCGGGTGGCAAGCCAGGATTGTTTTTGTTCGTCCGATGTGAATGATGCTATATAAATGTAAATTTGTAAAACTCTCCTGTGACTCTTTGAGATGTTCCTACTTGTGCAAAGGATCCAAACAGATAATCCCCAGATAATTTAAAACACAACAATTGCCTCTGAGATCCTCACCAGATTTTGACCTTGGAGAGTTTTTGTTTTCTTTTATCCTGCTCAACGTGACTATGTCAACGTGACTATGCACTCCCTACTCCTCAGGTGCTGACAGACATTTACATGTCCTTCATAAAATATGAATGTGACTACCAGAGAGTCCAGCTGTCAAATACAAAGCTGCTGGTTACAATGTTGCTTACAGGGAATTGTGATCACTCTGAGAACATCTAAGTGCCAATTGTTTGCTAGAAGAAAAAATGTTGGTCAAGCCACAATTCTTTGTGAGACACTGCTGTGTGCAATTGGCTGCTGGGTTTTGCCACAAAATATAGTTAATTCACTTCATAGTATATTCTGTGAAGTGGTCAATGACATGATAAGACGCTATATCAAGTGCAATGATTATTATTATTATTATCTGCTCTCTATCTGCCTCTTCGCCTATGAAATCAGATTTCATAATAAAAGAGATTATTTTAAAATGTGTTTCCTCCAATTGTATTAAAAAAGCAGAACAGCATTAACACACATCGGTTAGCAAGGCAAGTGATCAATGAACCATAAGAACACATTCAACTGAGACGAGCTATTAGCAAGTCCTTCCTGAACAAATATTTAGTTAATAGCCAAAATGAAGCGAAAGTCCATATAAAGTGCACCCAGTGCCAATTTTATTATCTATAAAGGAAGCAGCATAACATCATCAAATTACTCTATTAAACTTTTCATACCTACTGTAAATTAATTATGGCAGGTTTATTATGCATTAATTATCTTATTAAAATGTTAAAAGTATTTAACTATTAAGGAATTGATTCTCAGATCACCAGTAAATTCACAAACATTGAAGAAGGAGCATCTTTGATTCTCCACTGGTTCTTACATTTACTAACCTTGGTGGTGTGACCTTGAAATGGAAAATATGCTTACAAATGGAAAATTACCTTATAATTGGGTAATCCTATTACATTCCATTATATACCCACAAGACTGAAGTCAAGGTCAATATATTTAGCAACAATCAGAAAATCACTCACTGCAACTTATGATCGCTTCAAACCCGTATAACTGCTGTTACCGGTAGAACTACTAAACTATAGCACTCTTAACACTCTTGTTTGACCCATAACTGTCCTTCAAACCACACATCCGTGCCATGACCTGTTCTGCCTTCACCCAGCTCTGCCACTGTCTTTCCCTTCAGGCCGCCGAGACCCTCATCCACACATTCATTACATCCAAGTTCAATTGTACCAATCCCATGCTTGTCAGTCTTTCCAACAATTCTCTCCACAAGGTACAGATTATTCAGAACTCTGCAGCTTGTGTCTTCTCGTACATCCAGCTTCGCGAAGCTATCTCACCCACATCCAGCTCCACTGGCACCCCATTGCCCCAGAGTATAAAGTTCAAAATCCTTCTCATTTTCAAAGCCCCCCACAGCCTTGATCCTCCCTACCTCTGTAAACATACCAACCTGCCCGTTGCTCTGCTCAGTGAGCTCTGGCCTGCTCAATGCCCTCCCAATGTAAAAGATGCTATACAAATGTAATTTGTTGTTATTGTTTGTTAAAACTGTAAATCTTCTTTGCATTTGGAGAATCCTCCGTGCCCTCCTGATGTAAAAGATGCTATACAAATGTAATTTGTTGTTGTTATTGTTTTGTTAAAACTGTAACTCTTCTTTGCATTTGAAGAAGTCCCTCAGATTTTTCTGGTGACTAAGTTTATTGAGGCCATAGAAACAAAAGGAATGTACAGGACTGGAATAGACC